AGCAGGTCAGTGGATTCTCAGCTGAGCAGTGACATGTGCAGAAAGGTCCAAGCATGTGAGAGGAGGAGGATGTATTACTACAGAAAATCTTGTCCTGCTGCTGAATCAGTTCCCCACAGGCTGACTGGGTGACGCCGCTGTCTCGTCTCTCTGGTCACCATTGTATCCCCAGGGGGGCGCCCGTCACAGAAAAGCTTGCTTCCCAGTGAGAGTGGAGGGTCATCAGCAGTACCTGGGCCCCACAGAGCTGTACTAGAATAATGCCGAGCACTTCAGGTGCTCACTCTTCCCTCTGCCTGGAACACCCTGCCCACAGAACCCATATGGCTCATTCCCTCACTTCCTTCATGCTTCTGACCAGAGGTCAACTTTTCTGAACGGGTCTTCCCTGAACACCAAAGAGGTACCCTCCACCACACTCCCATCTGTGTCCTCATTACCCTACATAATTTTTTAATGGGATTTATTACCCCCTGACATCAGACATCTGTCTGTCTGCTTCCTTCCACTCTCCCTCTCCCCCACAAGAATTCGAGTTCCATAATAGCACCCCAATGATTGGCACTTAGTAGGCACTTGATGAATCTGTGTTGAATGAATGACTCTCTCCATGGTCGTACACATGCTCCATGTGAAGGAAATACTGTTACCTCCTTTATAGCTGGAGCTTCCTAGATTCTACCACCCTACCTACTAGACCCACCCCCAGGGAAATAAAAACAGTTTTTAAAAAGATTTATTTATTTTAGAGGGGGGGGGTGGGGAGCAGAGGGAGAGGAAGAGAAACCCAAGCAGTCTCCATGCAGAGCACAGAGCCGAACGTGGGGCTTGATCTCAGGACCCCTGAGATGTCGACCTGAGACGAAACCAAGAGTCGGGTGCTTAACTGACTGAGCCCCCCAGATGCCCCTAAATAAAAACATCTTAATTACAAGCATTGGGTGTTTCACCTATAGCCCGATTTCACTTGTGAGTGCATTTTTGAAATAATAAACCAGGTTTAAATCTTTGTCTTAGTGTCTCTTTTCTGGTTATTGTTTTTAACATGTCAAATAAAATTTTCATCGAAGTCCGAAAAGCTCAAAAATCATATGCTTATTTTTTAAATGTAGCAACCGCACTAGCAGTAAGACATGGAAACGTACAACAATGTGGATGGATCTCAAATCCATTATGAAAAGAGACAAGCTCCATTCAAAAGGCTGCACTAATATTCTGGAAAAGGGAAAGCTTTAGGGACAAAAAGCAGCTCTGGGGGGTGCCAGGGGTAGGGAAGAGGGGAGGCAGTCCCCCAACAAAGGGGACAGCACAAGGGGATTTGGGGCGGGGGGATCGAACCATTTTCTTTCATGACTGTGGTTACAGGTAGAGAATTCTATGAATTGGTCCAAGTTCATGGAGAACTACACCCCAGAGAGAATGAATTCTAAGGTATATAGATATACACAAATTTCTTTGCAAAAGCCAGGGTCCCGTCCCACACGTTACCAAATGCCCTGCTCTTCAGATGGTAAGCACTCTATTAGCTCTATCTTTTGGTTATTTACTGCTTGCATCTAAATAACACGCAATCTCGATTTGCTACTTGAGTTTTCAGCGTTAGGCATTATCTGTTGCCTTCCTACGTTGCAGAATATGTAGCTCTCATGCATATGCTCTTCCTGTCTCTCCCATCCTGCACGCATCTCCGCCTTCAGTCTCCCAACAGTTAAATCCTAATTTCAGCTGGCTCCGTTTCTTAGGATGTGTTGTGACTCTGTGGATAATATTCAAATGAGCCATACTCTACGCCATAATGACTTTGTCCTCTGTGTTTTCTGTGAGATAAGTAATTTTACTTTTTGTTTTTTGGTTTTTTTGCTTTAATAATTGTTTATTGTTATGTTAATCACCATACATTACATCATTAGTTTTTGATGTAGTGTTCCATGATTCATTGTTTGTGCATAACACCCAGTGCTCCATGCAGAATGTGCCCTCTTTAATACCCATCACCAAGTAATTTTACTTTTTACGCTCGCTTAACTTCCTCTGTGTTTGGCATTAATTCAGCCCTGAACGCCCCAGCTGTCTGAACCTCCTCACGGTAATAGCGAAATGCACCCTGTCGTCACTCAGCGTTGTCTTCTTGAAACCCCGGGAGCCTTCTGGCCATCTCTAGTCTGGATGGTTTCTCTCTTTGATGGGTGCACATTTGTCATTCCGGGACATCCTTCACCATTATTCTTGGGATTCCTTTCACCTTCCTCTTGGGTCGGAGCCCCTTTTCCTTAGATCCGTTGATCTAGGGTTTTACCCTGCCATTTCAGTTTAGCAGCATCCTCCAATAGTTTCCCTATAAAAGTACATAACTTTTTGAGGCCCTGAATGTCTAAAAGTGTCTTTCATCAACCCTCCCATTTCATTGACAGTTAAAATGGCTAGAGAATTCTGGCTGAAATAGTTTCCCTTTAGGATTTTGAAAACTCTCTGCCCCATTCTCTTCTGGCTTCCAATGTTGAGAACACTTCTGTTTCTGACCCTCAGTGTGGGACCTGTCTTTCTTCTTTTGTCTTCCGTGTCATGAAATTTCTAAGACTACGTCCTGGTAATAGAACTCTCAACCTCTGTGCTGGACCTTGTCGATTCAGAAAATCAAGACTCTTAATTCTGGATTTTTTTTTTTTTAAGTTTCTCTGCTTTCTTTACTCTTTTTTTCTGGAGTTCTTGTTATTTGGAAGTTGGAACTCCTGGGTGGTTCTTTCATTTGTATAGCTTTTCTTCTGTGTTCTCTCTCTTTGCCTTGTTTGTTTTACCCTTCAGAGTTTCTTACCTATCTACCCTTCAGAGTTTCTTAACCCAGCTCTCTTTTGAATTTTTCTTTCTACTGTCACTTTTAATTGCCAAAAACTCATTCTGACTTTCTAAATAGAAATTTGAGGCGCCTGGGTGGCTCAGATGGTTAAGCATCTGCCTTCGGCTCAGGTCGTGTTCTCCAGGTCCTGGGATCGAGCCCCACGTCCAGCTCCCAGCTCAGCAGGGAGTCTGTTTCTCCCTCACCCTCTGCCCTTCTGCCGGCTTGTGCTTTCTCTCTCTCTCAAATGAATAAATAAAATCTTTAAAATAAGCAAACAAATAAATATAAATTTGTTACAGTTTCACAGATACAATAATTTCTTAGCTTTCACGTTTGAATACAGCTGATCCTTGAACAACAGGGCTTTGAACTATGTGGCTCCACTTCTAGGAGGATTTTTTTTCAATATGTTGGGAAATTTGGGGGAGGACTGTGACGATCTGGAAAAATTAAGGAACACTTAGGTATAGTTGTAAGAATACAACACATAATACATGTAACATACAGAATATCTGTTAATAGACTGTTTAGGTGATTGGTAAGGCTTCCAGTCAACAGTGGGCTACTAGTAGTTACGCCAAAAGCTCTATGTGGATTTCTGACAACATAGGATGTCAGTGCCTCTAACCCCCACGTTGTTGCAGGAATCAGCTGTATTGTTCATTTATTGACTTTTCTGTATGGGCTCTCATATAAGAGGTTTTCCTAAGATGCTCAGTGAGCGCTGTGGTGCTCCAATTTAAGAATGGGACATCACATGGGGCGCCTGGGTGGCTCAGTTGGTTAAGCGACTGCCTTTGGCTCAGGTCATGATCCTGGAGTCCCGGGATCGAGTCCCACACGGGCTCCCTGCTCGGTGGGGAGTCTGCTTCTCCCTCTGACCCTCTTCCCTCTCGTGCTCTCTCTGATTCTCTCTCTCTCTCAAATAAATAAATAAAATCTTTAAAAAAAAAAAAAAAAAAGAATGGGACATCACATAATCACTTGGAAGTTCCGTGCTCATAGGTGGAGCTTGTCAGCTTTGTGCTTCCCTATAGGACAACCTCACTGGACCATGTCCATAGGAAACCTCCAGTGTTACTGTTTTGGAGTCTTTTTCCCTTTGGCAGTCAGATGTCCCAGGGATAAAGCACTTCCATTTTGACCCCTGGAGGATGGAAGCCTGACTATCAAAATTCTCAGATGGGGAAGAGGCTGGGGGCTCACCATTTAGAATCCTTTCTTTTCCATCTAGTGTCCCTGTTCTCACTCTGCCTGGGGTCTCCTGGTCACAGGCCCTGCATGTCATTGTCTGTGAAGAATAAACCAGCAATCTTCTATCACACAGGGAAAGGAGCATCACCTGGCAACTTCATGTAATAGAGGGGAAGTGGGGGCTCTAACTCTGAAACAGACTTTTCACCAAACCTCCTGTTTTTAGTCTCCCTTTTACCATTGTCTTCAAGGGTATTGTGAGACTTCTATTTTACCCCACGGCTTTTTCTATTACTTGTATATTTGGCTATCTCTGGTCTAAGTCATTTTATTGTTTCCAGCTTCCAGATTGTGGTGCTCTCATTTTTATCATACCTAAAATGACCCCCCTAACTCCTTACTACCTGACACAACACTGTCTTCTCCACAACAGCCATCTTGAGCTTTAGTTAATTTTACCAGTTAATTTTCTTATTTATTGCCCATCTCTTCCACTAGGCTGTTAGCTCTCTGAGGAAAGATCATGTTTGTCTTGTTCTTACTCGTTCTTTGTGCTTATCACAGCACCACACTTCCAGTGCAGGGGCTAAGAAACCAGATTTTCCGGAGTCTGGGTTCAAATCCCTGCTCCACCTTTTAGAAATATATAGCCTTGGATAAATAACCTACTTTGGCTCATTTTCTTCATCAGCAAAAGTGGGATTAGAAGAAGCCTCTCTGCTAGAGTTTTGGGGATAATTCAGGGAGGTAATCCAGCTTACAGTGCTTAGTACTTGGTAAGCAAACGATAAATGCCAAGTAAGGAGGTGCGGGGTAAGCAAAAATGAATGATTCGGTGCCCTAACATCTTTTCATTTGAAAATACTGTTCACTATGTATTTCAAACTTAGGTGAGTTTGGGGAATGTACTTCTACCCCCTTATATTCAATTAATAACCTCAGGGTCTTGGTGTTACTTTTCCCCCAACAGGATATCCATCACAAGGGTCACGGCTGACATCTCGCTCGCCAAGCGCTCAGTGTTAAACAATCCCAGCAAGCACGCGATAATAGAAAGATCCAACACAAGGTCAAGCTTAGGTAAGTCTGTGCAGTAGACTTGGGCTTAGGCTCTTTAAACTTTTCTCTCCCGAGGCTGCCAATGAGAAGCTCTAACTAGATGGTAATTCCATGTGTCACAGAGCAGAGGAGAAATGGACCCACATTGTCCGTGGCTAGTGCTACAGTTTTAGTGATTTCATGCTATGGAAAGATTTGTTATGATAGTTTTGAGTTAAATAGTCCCCTGGCTGTCAGCATTAATGTTTGGTCGTGGTGTTTTGTTTTGACTAAAGTGAGCTTTGCTGGGCGCCTGGGTGGCTCAGATGGTTAAGCATCTGCCTTCGGCTCAGGTCATGATCCCAGGGTCCTGGGATCAAGTCCCGCATCAGGCTCCCTGCTAGGCGGGGAGCCTGCTTCTCCCTCTGCCTCTGCCTCTCTCTCTCTCTCTCTCTCTGACTTTCATGAATAAATAAATAAAACATTTAAAAAAAATAAATAAATAAAGTGAGCTTTGCTGTCTGCACACTAAACATTCCTGAAGAGAGAGATTAACTACTCTGTAGCATTATTGTAAGGATTAAACACAGTGTGTTCTCCATCAAGGATGGCTATTATCCAAATTGTATCAGTGATTATGTCATATTCAGGATAGTGTGTGTAAGGGGAGGAGTGGGTGTTGAGATAAAAAATGAAGTCAATTCCTGGCCATTTTTTAATTGATACCAATATTTATTTGTAAAAACAATATAGAGATTTTAGTTAACATGTTTACAGGGTTGTGTTTGGATACTGTATATTAACATGTACTGATTTGTTGAAATGAGACCCTTTGGCAGTTGTTTCTTCTCTGTGGCATGTGCTTGGAGTTGTAGGTTAATCACTGTTACACAGTAACTTACTGGGTTGTTAGGTTTCTGTTATAATTTTTTTGAGGGTTCGAGATCTTTGATCTTGGTTCATTTTTACCCCGTATATGTTAAATATCTAAGTCCTTTGGGAGACTGGTCTTTAACATAAAAGTTTTTCGTTTACTTTGGAGCATATTACATAAATCATAAACTATTAAAATTAAACTTTATCTGTTAGTAATGTGTAGAATTCCTTATAAAACTCAGTTTTGTTCCTCACCTAACAAACCCTCACTGACTACACTTCATTTTGCTTAATTTCTTTTCTTATTCTTATAATCTTTGACTCTTATGAACATTTTTTTTTTAAAGATTTTATTTACTTATTTGACAGAGAGAGACAGCGAGAGCAGGAACACAAGCAGGGGGAGTGGGAGAGGGAGAAGCAGGCTTCCTGCTGAGCAGGGAGCCCGATGTGGGACTTGATCCCAGGACCCTGGGATCATGACCTGAGCCGAAGGCAGACGCTTAACGACTGAGCCACCCAGGCGCCCTCTTATGAACATTTTTGATGTTCACAGAAATTGTTACAAAATGCTCATTTCATTGATTCACCTCATTAACTGTCAATTGTTTAGACTCGTAGTTACATCAGTGGCATATATTAGATTTGTTTAGATTGCCAAGGCTTTTTGTAACTATCAACTGTATGTTATTTTTAAATGACTGTTCCACTTCATGTACTTTCTTGAGCATATACTAGACACCGAGTGTCATGCTAAAGCCTGGGAATACAAAGATGAATTAGATGAAGGCACTGCCCACAAGGAGCTGGGTGTAGCAATAAGGCAGAGAAGTCAACAACCCACTGAAATATATGGTGGTGAGCGCAGTGGGCGTGCACTGAACTGGTTGCCAGAGAGGGTGCAGGCCACCAAGAAAGGCTTTTCCAAGGAGCTAAGCCTGAGCTGAGTCTTGAAGCCCCATAGGGTTTAGGCAAGACAGAAGGGAAAGAGGTGGAGAGGGTGATAGGGACTTAAAACCGAGTAAAGCAAGAGGCTTCTGGAAAACATAGGTTCTTTACCTTAGCTGTGAATGTATGGTTTGAAACAGAGGGCTGAAGGGAGATGACACCAGAGAGGCAGAGGAGGGATATTAAGGAATTTGGGGCTTATCCTTAAGGCATTATAGAACCACGTATAGATTTTAGGCATTTGTTCATCCATTTAAGAAATACTTGAGTACCAACCATATGCTAGGCATTATTGTACGTGCTAGGGATGTAGAAGTAAAGGACACCAAGTCCTCACTCTCATAGAGTTTTTGTTTCATAGGGAACATATGGACAAAAGCTAATAGATGTAGATGTAGGAGTCAGTGGTTGAGGATTCTGGGAAGAAAAAGCAGGCCAAAGGGTAGAGAGTAAACTGAAAAGAGTGTGATTTTACATGGGGAAGACAGGAGCCTCTTTGAGGAAATGACATTTTAGCAGAATGATTTGTTGTGAATTCTTTAGCCTTACAGCTACCCGTGAAAAGACTGTTTTGAGCAGAGGGAACTGAAGGTGCAAAGGCCCTGTGGCAGGAAAGTGTGTGATAATGTTTAAGGGATAGTGAGGAAGCCAGTGTAACAGATGTGGAATGACCAGGGGGTGGGCGGTCAGAGAGATTGTGCCTGATGATGTAGGACTTTATAGGGCTTTTATCGTGAATGTTGGTAGAAAGGTGTAGGAAAGCAGACCACATGACACGACAGGACTTGTGTCTTAGAAGGATCGCTGACAGCGTTGTGGAGAAGAGAATGGAACAGGGCAAGAGCCAACTCAGGGAAAAACTCAGATTCTGTTGAAGCAGATTCAGGGGAAAATGTACTCTGTGCAGAAACTAATAAAACTGGTGCCTTTAGGAGAATCCCTATAGCAGTGGGGTGGAGATGGGGCAAGAGTTGGACAGGGAGGTCATTTTGTAGGCTCTCCCCATCACTCAAGGTAGAGGTTAAGAGAGGACTGAAATAAGACAGTGGCACAGGGGATGAGTAGAATGAAAGGAATCCAGAGATAAGAGAGTCAGGTATGGGCAATTTTTGGAACATGAAGAAGCCAACTCCAGCGTGATCTCTTAAGGTTTTGCTTTCAGGAGTTGGGTCATTGATGGTGTTATTCTGGGGAGAAGGGATTCAGGATGAGGAGCTAGAGGGAGTGGCCTGGGTAAGGGGATAAGGAAGATGACGGCCGCATTTGTGCACACGTTGAATTTGCATCCAAATACCCAGCAGGCAATCACTTGTACGGACCTGGAACTCGGCACAGGACGGGGATTCAGATGCAGTCAGTTCTCAATACTCACAGTACTTAAGTTCTCTAAGGTCTCCGTGAACACTGTACTAGCAAATACGGAGTCTGCTCCCAGGGAAACACGGGTGGGTTCCTCTGTAAGTATGAGGATTTTTAGTTTTTATGGCAGCACTAGGAAATAGGTCATGATAACAGACAGGAGAATGGTCAGGTGATCCCTCTTCTGTGTCACTACAACATGTTGAATAACAAGTTATGCGTGTTAGGTGGACTCTATTGTATAGGAAACATGTTTATGATCTGACAGTACAAAATTGATACTTGAACACTCCAGGAATGTACATATATGTGGATATGCTATACCTTAAGATTCTTCTACATTTAGCTGAGGTTAAATTTGAGACGATCTACCTCAAATCTAATAGAGGAGATCAATTTCAGCATTTGTATCTTTTACAAAAGGATGAAAGATCCAGTAGAGTGAAGATACAATTTGATAGGTAAAAATTTGCTTCAGACAACTTCTGTTACATAAAGGTATAGTATGTTGCCATTGGAGTTTATTATGCTGATGTACCTCTGTATGATAGGAAGGAACAGAAAACCCTGAAAAATCTGAAGCCTTAAGTACATCTTTGCTGTTTTGGGGTGGTACAGGACTTCTCTGCACTGACACATGGCTTTATTTATACTCATAAGACTCATACAAGTTCTAACCTTTTGTCCGTGTTGCATCACAATTTAAGATATCTACATTATTCAAACGTAGGGAATGCAAATAAAGAACATTACACTCTTAGAAATAAAAATATTATTTGAATGTAAATAGTTATGGGTGTGGGGACCCAGTTATTTGCCAATTCCAAGTCCAAACTTTTAAAAGTAATATATTTAGATAATGATATTACTGCTTTCTAAGAGGAGTCACCTTGGTGTTTCTTCAAACTGCCCAACTTCTTCAAAAGTGTGGTTTGGTCTTACCCCAAGCACTTTCCCAGAGACAAATCAATTTAGGGAAAGATGGTACATCTTTGCACACGTTTGTACACAGAGATGTGAATATAGTGCCTGTGTGTACCACACAAAGGCAAAAACTGTGTGCTGAAGGTGGGAAAATATTGAGCAAATACACAAGAGTTAAGGAAGCAAAGACGGATTTAGCTGTGCACATGGCAACAGTTGCAGCTGATGGCATGCAGGGAGTAAGGAAAGGCATTTAATTTGTGTATCAGCAACACAGGTGGATAGATAACAGTGTTTTCAACCTGGTAAGTATTTTAACCCAATTGAAGAGCTAGCTGAGACCATTTATTTAGCCACTTATCCTTGTGATGGAAAGGTTCCTCTTAACTGTAGTGCTGATACATGAACCAGCACATATGATAAAATTCTATACAGCTAAATAGACATACATACAGGGAGTACAGGAAAACTGGAGAAAGCTGAATAGGACTGGTGGATCACGGTAGTATTGTGGTTGTGATACTGCACGAGAGTTTGGCAAGAGGTTTCCATTGGGGAAAACTGGGTAAAGGGTACAAGGGAGCTCTGTTTTTCTTACAACTGCATGTGAATTTATAATTATCTCAAAGTTTCAACTAAGCAAAGCTCATCACTTACGTTATAGCACCATGGACTTTGGAACCAGGATGACAAACCCGAGAGCATTCAGTTCGGTGGTTCTTTTTTTTTTTTTAAGATTTATTTATTTATTTATTTGACAGAGAGAGACACAGCGAGAGAGGGAACACAAGCAGGGGGAGTGGGAGAGGGAGAAGCAGGCCTCCTGCCGAGCAGGGAGCCGGACATGGGGCTCGATCCCAGGACCCCGGGATCATGACCTGAGCCGAAGGCAGACGCCTAATGACTGAGCCACCCAGGCGCCCCCAGTTCAGTGG